TCTGTTCCCTCATTTCTTGCTGTGAAGAGACAGTGCAGTCTTAGCCCTCCCTCCCAGAGATTATGATTGCTCAGCAAATAGCTATTCATGGAAATTACCTATCGTTCTGTTACATTATCATTAAAGATGAAGGGGAGAAACAATATATCAGCAGATAGGACCGACTTGTGTGCAATCCTATCTAAGCCATTAGGAAACAGACATTAAAAGTTTCAGTCACTTGGCCGTAATTCAGCGCGTTGGCACATCAGCCATTCCTGTGTGTCTCCTCTTTCAGACGTAGTGTTCAGGTGGCTGAGACCAGTGCTGTGTCCCTCTACTGTTTATTAATGTCCGTCACCGTGTACTGCTGTATTTTAAAAATGAGGAAGTGCTGAGCGGGAAAGCCAGATTTTTTTTTTTTCTTGTGGACAAACAGTTTCTATGGGAATTTTCAGGAGTAAATGCAGTCTTTGTCAAAGCTGTTATTCACTTAGCAAGAGAAAAAAATGATTTGTTCTTTCAGAGGAAGTTCAAAAACCTATTTTCCTGTTAGTAGATAATACAAGCTGTGCTGCACCATGAGTAAAAAGCTACTCTTATGCAGCTGAACTGGCAGAAGGACGCAGCTGGTGCACAATCTTGCTAACTGTCATACATATAAGTAGTCTTACTGATTTCAGATAAGCTAATTACATTAGTATAATTGTTCATAAAGCAATATTACCTAAGATTTTAAAATTTAAAGTTCTTACATGGAAGCTCATTACCTTCCCCTGAAATTCTGCATAGGGAGACACAGGTCTGATCTAAATGAAAAGACGTCCATGTCTTTCCTGAACTGAGGGTTCCAGAGCTGGACGCAGTACTCCAGGTGGGGTCTCACCAGTGCAGAGTAGAGGGGCAGAATCACCTCCCTCGACATGCTGGTCACGCTTCTTTTGATGCAACCCAGGATACAGTTGGCCTTCTGGGCTGCAAATGCACATTGCCAGCTCATGTACAGCTTTCATCTGCCACTACCCCCAAGTCCTTCTTGGCAGGGCTGCTCTCAATCCGTTCTCCACCCAGCTTGTATTTGTGCTTGGGGTTGCCCCGACCCATGTGCAGGATCTTGCACTTGGCCTTGTTGAACCTCATGAGGTTCACACGGGTCCACTTCTCAAGCTTGTCCAGGTCCCTCTGTTTGGCATCCCGTCCCTCAGGTGTGTCAACCATACCACTCAGCTTGGTGTTGTCTGCAAACTTGCTGAGGGTGCATTTGATCCCACTGTCTATGTCATTGATAAAGATATTAAACAACTTCATAGAACAGCTCAGGTTGGAAGGCTGCTCCAGAAGGAATGAGGTCCAAACTCCTGCTAAAAGCAGGACAAATTTAGAGGTTAGACCCAATTCCCAAGTTAGATCAGGTTGCCCAGAACATTGTTCAGTATAATTGTGAATGTATATCACCAAGAATGGAGTTTCCACAATTTCTCTGGGCAATCTGGTCCATCGTTTGACCATCCTTATTATGAAAATTATTACCTTGCATATAATTAAATTTTCCTTTGCTCTGACTTGCTTCTGTTGCCTCTCATCCTTTTGCTGTGCACCCCCCAAGAACAGCGTGGATCCATGTTCTCTGTAACCACTCTTTGGGTAGTGGAACAGTGCAATTACCTCCATCTTCTCAACTTTTCATGTCCAGTTTGAACAAACCTGGCTTTCTCAGCATCTCCTCATACATCCTGTGCTCTAGTCCCCAGTCATCTTAATAGCCCTCTGCTAGTGTAGTACTATGTGGTCAGTGCCTTTCATTTACAGGGGAAAGCTGGGTACAGATGCAACCTCATAAATGTCACACAGAAGGAAAGAATCACTCCCCCTCAATCAGCTGGCTATGGTTTTTCTAAAGCAGAGCATGTAGTTAACCATCATTGCTGCAGGAACACACTGTGGATTCATGTTCAATTTGTTGTCCACCCGGACCCCATATCCTTTTATGCAAAGCTGTTTTCTAGTCAGTCAGCTCCAAGCCTTTACTCTTGCATGGGTTTATTCCATTCCAAGTATGGAAACTTGCATCTGCCTTTGCTGAGCTTCATGAAGTTCCTGCCAGCCTGTCCCCCCAGCCTGTTGAGATCCCTTTGAGTGGAAAATAACGGATGCGCTCAGTCCAGAACAGGGTAGAAACTCCTCCTGCTTGCTTTTGCCTTCTATTATTTTGGTTATTCTTGTGACACAAAGCAAAAGTCTTTCCCTGACATGGAATTATTTAATTTATAGAGAAGTTTATCAATTTCCTCTCCTTCACCAAGACAGACTTTGTACTGCAGTGACGAGGAATAATCAAGCAAAATACAAATGCATATGACTCTATAAAATAATACATGCAATTAAAAATAACTCTGACTAGAACGACTGGAAATGTTATAAATAACTTGGTAATTTGAATGTGAATCAGTAGGTCAGCAATGAAAACCTATACAAAGCATCTCCTGTTTTGTCATTGTAGGATATGTTATTAGATGCTTACAGTTCTGCTGGTAAATCCTGTAGCCGTGGTTAACATAATTACTACATGCTTATGAAACAAAGGGGTATGTTACTTATTAGTAGAAGACAAAATATGTCTGTTAAAAGGAACTTAAAAATGTTTGTCTTAAACATTCTTTTCTCAGAGCTGTTCTGACTCACTGTCATGCATGCATCCAGATATATCTAGTCAGTCTAATTTGAGCAATAGCTTCTAAAAACACAGTAAATCTTTGGTAAATTCTACTGTCAAAACAGTTACCCGCTAAATTCTGCAGTAGAGCTTGGAAGGCATTGGTGTCATTGCATTGGTATGAAACTAAACTAAACAGGTCTATTATATGACTTTCAGAGCTGGAGGGAGAATCATTTTAAAAATGTGCCTTTGAGAGAATTTAATTCATTGCCCCTGAAGATTCATGGGAGTCTGTTCAGACACCGTTCTTGATCAAGGTCACTACCTTACTGAGTCTAAGTGTTCAAATTTACTCACTAGAATATTGTTAAGGAAATCAACTGCCTTTATCATGTGAGAAAAGCTATCTAAATGTGTAAGCATATGGAGAATTTGAGTCAAATAGATACATATAGTCTACAAAGATAGCAGTAAATGAAACATGCTCGAATCACTCTCTAGCACTGAGGCCAACTAGAACAATATAAAATGCCTCCTGAAAAATTGTCAGTTGTGAATTATCTTTGCTCATTGCTAATTTCTGGGTATTCCCATACCTGGGAATTATTTGGAAAAGTGCTAGTTTGACTAGTCAAAACCATATCAGGGACTGTTCGTTCAACTCAACAGGATAGTCAGCCGAGAGACCCATTGTCCAGGAGTTTTCCCTGTCACTGTTTAATATGCATTTGGATAATGTCCAAATGGGGATTAGTAACAAGTGGTGTCCCTCGGTGGGTCTGTACTGGGAGCAATATTATTTAATATCTTTATTAATGACATATACAGTGGGATTGAGTGCACCCTCAGCAAGTTTGCAGATGACACCAGTCTGAGTGGTGTGGTTGATTCACTGGAGGGAAGGGATGCCACCCAGAGAGACCTTGACAGGCTTGAGGAGTGGGCCCATATGAACCTCATGAAGTTCAACAAGGCCAAGTGCAAGGTCCTGTACAAGGGTCAGGTCAATCACCAGTATCAGTACAGGCTGGGTGATGAATGGATTGAGAGCAGCCCTGCGGAGAAGGACTTGGAGATATTGGTGAATGAAAAATTAGCTATGAGTAGGCAGTGTGTGCTTGCAGCCCAGAAAACCAATTGTATCCTGAGCTGCATCAAAAGAAGCGTGGCCAGCAGGTCAAAGGAGGTGATTCTGCCCCTCTACTCTGCTCTGGTGAGACCCCATCTTGAGTACTGTGTCCAGCTCTGGGGTCCCCAGCACAATAAAGGCATGGACCTGTTAAAGCAGATCCAGAGGAGGGCCACAAAAATGGTCAGAGAGCTGGAACACCTCTCCTAGGAAGAAAAGCTGAGAGAGTTGAGATTGTTCAGCCTGGAGAAGAGAAGGCTCCGGGGAGACCTTATTGGGGTCTTTCAATATATAAAAGAGGCTTATAAGAAGGACGGACAGAGATTTTTTTCCAGGGCCTGTAGTGACAGGACAAAGCAATGGTTTTAAAATAAAAGAGGGCAGATTCAGATTAGATATAAGAAAGAAATTTTTTACGATGAGGATGGT